CGTATTTTTTTTTTATCCTTATTATTCAAAAGCCCATACCTCCCAAACTAATATTATTTTCCAATTCCGAGAATTTTTTTTCGGCAATATACGGAAACATTAATTAATACAAATATTGCCTAAAATATTAATAATTCAAATCCATATATTATTTTATAACAATTTAACAAGAAATTCCTTCTAAATATTTCCCCATCTAATAATAAAAATTAGTTAATATCGAGTAATTTTTATTAAAATCCGTTCAAAAATTATTATTATTTTAATTTTTAATCAAGATATAATATTAAAGTAACCTTCGAAATCCAAATTTAGGCAATATTTTAATATATATTTTTTTTTTTATAATTTTAAAATAAAAAAAATAATGTTTTAATTAAGGTTTTAAATTTAATATTCGGGGGAGGCTTCACACCCGAATACTAAATACATCCTAATACTAAAAAACTCCTCCAGGTAAGGGGGGACCGCGGCTTAGTATTAGGGGGAAAAGATTATATAATGTAATTAAATATAATACACACAATATGTTTTTTCAAGAATCATTTAGACTACATATTCTTTTTCATTCAACAATTGTGCGTACGCCATTTTGAGTGTAATCATTGGCCCGCTTTTGTTCTGAATCCTGATGCTCATGCCCGCGCAAATGCTCACACATGAATAAAAACTGCTCATGCCTTCCCATAGCTGTGCATTTCTTCCAACATATCAAAACCATGATAGTTCGGAGGTAATAATGATCAAATTTTATCACCATATTGCGATGTTTAAAACCCATCACCAATGTCTCCAGCCAGTTGCCTGCTTGTAGTTGAAGGTAGCGAGAAGCCCAAAGGATGATGCCAAAGCCTCTGGTGACTCTTCTGCACGCCAGTGTAATGACACGAAGTCCGCACCACGCGACAGGTGGAAGTCTACCTTGGCAGTCACGACAGCAAACCGAATCGAAGGAGGGAGTGCAGAAGTCCTGGGACACATGAGGGTCCCCATTCCCAATCAAATGTTGTTGCCACTCTGCATTCCGTTGGGAAGATCAACAAAGGTATTAGGGAATATTCAAATCCCACCCCCGTTAAACTTTACACTGGGAAGATCAACAAAGGTATTAGGGAATATTGAAATCCCACCCCCGTTAAACTTTACATTCAACTGGGAAGATCAACAAAGGTATTAGGGAATATTAATATCCCACCCCCGTTAAACTTTACATTCAATTGGGAAGGTCAACAAAGTTATTAAAGTCCCACCACCGTTAAACTTTACATTCATTGAACATCTTCAATAAGGGTTTAATTTTCCCACCCCCGTTAAACTTCTACATTCATTGAAGATCGTCGATAAGGGTTTAATTCTCTCACCCCCGTTTACATTCTACATTCATTGAAGATCTTCAATAAGGGTTTAATGATGATGATGGTGATGGTGATGGTGATGATGATGATGATGATGATGATGATGATGATGATGATGATGATACGTTGCCTGTCGTGGTTGCGGTTCCGGGCAAAGCCCATGCATTTGCCGATATAACAATATACATACTAATTATATGTATACATACTATGTGTATGCGTAATATATATATATACATATATATATATGTATATATATATACATAATACTTTACTTATATACACATATACATAGATTATCAAAGAAGATATACAGCACTCATATACAGTATCTTGTTGCTCCAAGCGGCATCTGGGTGGGTCGCTCGACCCTCACCGGGCCAAAAGAGATACTCAAAGGCCAGCTGCAAAACAGGCTGCCGCATCCTCAGGAAGCCACCAAGGGGACGTCTTACATCTGCTTACTGGTGCTTAGTAGGGAATGGATGGGAATGGGGGAATGGGATGATTATTACTAGTGATTATGGATCATTCCCTCATTCCCTGCTAAGCGCCAGTAAGTCTGGGAAAACACAAACAGGTACTGGATTGAGTGTTGTCAAATCACAAAGAGGCACAGGATGTCGGATGTCCCATGTGATCCTTCATCCTCGCCCAAAAAGTGGACCTGGACTTTCCGGATTCTTCAGGAGACCGGAGGTGTATCAGGCAGCTACATGTCTGGCCAACATAAGGTCGCTCTCAGTGCCCTGAACTTGGACCCTCCATCACCTGAGAAACTACATAGTCCTAGTTCCGAAGCCCATGGAAGTTTCTAGGAACCAATATATCTGCACATTCCAAATTGACGGCTTACTGAACGACACCATAGCTGGAAAAAAAAAGTCACCAACACATAATATCTCTGAAGAACATCAAACAACAACATACAAAAACCATCATTAACATTCATCCGGAAAAAACATCATCTTGTCACTAGCCTGAAAATAAGGTCATTTTGGGGATAGTTGCCACTACTAATAGCTCCTTAATGTTTTGATGATCTTTCTCAGTTGCCAAATCAGCCGCGACACTTTGGCGTCAGCAGGCCTCCGAAAGCGCAGAGCTTTTCCAGCTTCAGCAGTTCGACCTCCTGGTGAAGCCGCTGAAAACCCATGATTTTTCCAATGGGATCATCATCCCAAATTTAGACATAAATAGACTGAATAAATAGACTGAATATATCTGAATAATTCCGAATATAACAAGTTGAGACCTTAAATATCCTTAAATCACCCTCCATGATCAGGAACAGGGCTAGGTAATGTTTTGCAAATAGGCTACCTCTCAATTTTGGTGAATCATCCGTTTCACCGTTCAGAGTCGTTCAGATATTTAGGGGGTGTACCCCATTTTCATGCACACACCTTGGTGAGGCTTTTGGTATGGCTCACCACAGCTGCATTTTCCGCCACATCGCCTCAGGGAGGTCAATCTGCATGGCACCCTCCTCGAGCGAAACCAGCACTGCTGCTGGGTCCTCTTGCAGCTTGATACCTCGCTTGTACAGCCGCAGATGTTGAAATGAGATAGGAGTAACAAGATGTAGCAAGTACTTTGAAGCTCCAGACGGAAATTGCCTTGCATACTTCTTTTTGATTTTTTGGCTGGAAGAATCAACTGGGAATCTCTGCCTTGTCCAAAAGATAGCAAGTCGAAATGCTTTGCCAAACTACTAGCTTTGATCACTGATCACATATATCATATCTCCTTTCGAGTCTACGAAATACTTTCGATATGTCCCCACTGTGCTGATGTTGTTCCTACTTTGGTCATGATTGTCGGCAAGCCTTTGGTGCTTACTCTAAGGAAGTTCTGACCTGCTACCCGTTGTGGCATCAAGTTGCGACGCACGTGCTTCGCATCTGCACCGTTGATGGACACCTCAACTTTCGCCCCGCAAGGGGAAACTAAGAAACTTAGCCATACTTTGCTTCTAAGGGTGAGACCACGCAATTGCCTCATGTGCTTGTGTCCAACAAAAGGTAGTGTACCCCAAGTCCACTGGTTATTCATTCTTTTCCCCAGCAGAATTGCATAACAAACACCGCCCGCCTCCAAACCACGTTGGCCCTGTTCCGGCACGCTGAACGCAACATCATCACCCGATGCATCGGTGAAGCGCAGAGAGGAATTGCTTCCACAAGATGCTGCTAGAATGGCCCGCACCTGATGGACACGTTGGGATGTTTGCTGATGGCGCAATCCCATGCACCACAAGATAGATTCAAGTACGCTCGGAATCTTGACTATATCTATTTGATCTACTGGTGTTAATCATGTAGACACACTTATCATCACTTATCTATATAATCTATCGTATACTCTAGTAACATAGAAACATACGTTATCACTATTTTAACTTGTTTCAATATGATGTTATTTTCTATATTTTTGGGGGTGACGTAATAATATATCTAGAATCTATATGCAATATTTTAGGTAAGTATAGACAAAAATCAAACACACCTATATACTGGGAAGTGCAGTTCCAGGTATAAGTGGGTAAATCAATAAATGGCTATTATATATTATTATATATAAATACATACAATTGTTGTTGTTGTTGTTGTTGCTGTTGCTGTTGCTGTTGTTGTTGTTATTATTGTTGTTGTATATTATCATATAATCATGGTTGGTGGGGTGATATCCCAACTTTTTAGGGCTTCAAATGCCATGGTTATAGCCATGTGTAACCTCAACTAGATGTGAGCGATTGCGCATTGGGCCTCCTGAGAGAAGTGAGGCCGCTGAGTCAGAACAGAACCTTGGACACGCCAAAAGCTGAGAAAAGAAGGGGGGATCTGACGAACACATCTGGGGATAGAATGGCATGTAGTGGGATATAAATGGATATCATGGGACAGACTGGGATATAATGAAAAATAGTGGGATATAATCATGGGGACATAGGGGGGATATAATTGGATATACCGCCAAAACTATGATACATGGCCTTGTCTGAAAATTGGATGCCCCTAAAATCCAAGGGATTCTCGTTTCAATTTGCAAGTTTGGGGATACTCAACTTTTCGACAAACCCATACACTGAAAAACTATCGGTGGATGCTGGGCATATATCCACAATACAGATGGGAGATCATGGGCAATCACCACATTGAACTCCGCTATGCTTTTGTAGAGGTTTTGCTTTTGCAGAAGTATGCTCGTGTGGGATATCAGACATCATTTGTTTTCCGTATTCTATGCTTTGACAACTCTTGGCGGACTTGGAGTGATCCAGGATCCAGTGTTCAACTTGTGGGATAGTCCCATTCCACTTCACTAAAGGTGGGAGCAGCATGGGAAACGACCATCCTCACAGGGAGCAATTTGACCATGGTGTCAACCATCTGTGGGCAAAACAAATAGCATCACCCTTTCAGTAGGTTTCTGCGAAGGGCAATCATATCTTCTGTTTAATTGTAGGATGGGTTTGGAACACGTTGCGGCCTCATGCGGAAGCAGAACGTTGCCATGTGTTGTGTATTCACCTTCTTCACAACCCCTCCTCTAGGACAGCTCAGAGTTAGGTTCCCGCACTGCTCCTCAACCAGTGGCGGAAACCACGCAGATTGACGGTGGCCTGGGGTCAGCCACAGCTCAACATCAGGATGGGAAACATGCTCGATGATCACGGCACTTGTGCACCAACTGCATCTGGCTTTTCTGCTGGGTTTTTGGGCATCCAGACGACTCAACCCCACTGAACGCTATGTTGTATCATAATTCCAACCACCCCAAGATCAGGCTCAGACCGAGATCTCTTTGAACCCTTGCTCGCGCAGCTGAGTCTTTGTTTGTTGCCTTGCTTTTACTTGGGTGCCATGGTGATTTTGGCTGGATGCGGATGGAATGCTGCTCCACTGTGATGGTGACAGTGATGGGACAGCAGTCATTGTGGCTTTCCCATTGCAAAAAAGACCAGCTGTCGCTGTCACGAATAATTTGCAGGTGAAGAATCTGATACCATTGGACCTGCAAAAAAAGGTGTCTTTTGAGGATGGTTGAATCAATGTTAATGTCCCATCCCCCATGGGTATGCGTCAAAACATGCCAAACCCCGGTGCCCTTGTTTTTGGACCAAGCAACTGGTATGTAACCACCTTTTGGAGGTCAGATTATGTTGTGCTATTTGGGTGTGTCTGAAAATCGGGTATACACCACGTTCCATCCACGGGTTAATCATCAGTCTCCCAATGAAGACTGCCATAAGTTGGGGGCCCATCACATCCATTATTCATGTTCAGTCACGCTCAAATATCAAAGTGTTGGTTCCTGTTGGTTATATAATTATCCCCCATAACATCACCATAAACTGGCTGGTTTGGTACGCATTCATGTTGGTTGACCTCCGATGTTGATGATGACGTCCCATATTTTAGAGGGGTGAAATCCCGTTTTCCTGATTCATGTTGGTTGCCCATCATATACATTCATATACCAATATCTTATCCAAATAAATTAGTTGGGAAAAATCTGCAAATCACCAGCACATTTACCACTATATATCATTCTTAACCATTATTAACCACTGCCATTGTAAACACCATTCTGCCCCCTTTCTGCCAACCCCTTGGGCCACTAAGGCCCAGCTGCAACAGAAGATGCTCCAAGCCATAGCCTGTCAACACTGCTTCGCACAGCTGCGGCTCCCGCATCTCTGCTTCGCTGTCGCGAAGGACAGCATGGAGGGTGGCCAAGGGTGGAGCCAGCGCAGGGCCCTGGGCGATATCTTGATGGTCTGCAGACTAAAGGATGTGTTTTGTGTACTTTCAAGAAGATAAGAAGGCACGCGTAGTATATACATATATATATATATTTTTTCCCTCTGGTTCTGTTTGATTCTGTTTGTCTTTTCTTGGATTGTCACCTATGTTTGCTCTTGCGTGCCTACAGGCTTCAAGCAAGAAATATCTTTGACCTTGGTTTGGCTTTCGCAATGGCTTCATTTTCATGCTATTAGCCTTCCCTCCTCCCCACCCTACCGTCCACCATATGTATTTTATGTGTGTGGGCCATGTGTGCGACCATATTGTATAAACATGTAGCTACACGTAAGGCGTGAACAAATTCTAAGACCATACAAGTAGGCATGTAGCAAAAAAACATCTGTCATTTTATGTGGATGATTCACCCTCTGGTAATTTAAAGTGCTATGGAGAATCACAATTCTTAATTATGTTTGAAGGATAAAACATCATTTTTATCATCTAAACATGGGCCATTTTTTCTATGGTCAAATCGTTGGATACCCCAATAGATGGTTAATACTAAACATGAATCCTAAAATCATCTAAAATCTGTGGTCCGGGCTAAGATTTTGACACCTCCCTATATCCTGACTCAGAAAATTATTCGAAACTGACGGGAACAAGGTCTCCATTTGGCTGGTAAAAGAATAGTAACTTTCCGAAGTACATTGTTTCCTGTAGATTTTCCCCAATGAAACCAACCCACTGATTCATCGCTCCCATTTAAACATGACATATCCATCATTAAATGCCAATAAATATCCACAAATACCATCCATATCCTCAAAGGACCATCCTTAGCGGAAAGCGGCCTCCGCCATCTGAGGGAAGCTCAAGGCAAAGCACCGGGTTTCAGCTGCCTCGGCTGCCTTGGCGGCCTCGGCCTCCGCAGAAGTAAAATGGAGCTGGTTGATGGTCTCAAGCTCCAAGATGAGGGTACTATGTCATATATCTATAACTATATCGATATATATATATATATATATAAATAATTATAATTATAAATAAATAATTATATATATATATGTGTCATTGTATGTATTGCAGTTTATGTCACTTGATACAGTGGATATATATATATATACATATGGATATATAATAGACAAATACAGTCGCGTAGTCGTTTCAACCCATGAAATGGGGTCATGTAACAAAACCCATGGAATGGGACTGAAACCAGCACATATACAGTAGCTCCTGTTCAATGATGGAGGTCCAACAGGGATGTAGTCGGGATATAGTGGGGATATAATTCGCCGAGATATGGTCAGGATATAACCAACAGAATCATGGATATGAACTCACAGGTAATTTTATCAAAACTATGTGATCGGTGGTTGAGCCGCCAATCCGTAGAACAAGCAGCCCTATTGGGGAAGCTTTGGGGATGTAGGATCAACAAAATTGACAACTACCTGCCCCATCATTTTTTCAGCCATTTTTCCTGACCAATTTGGTTTTGACTGAAAAAACTATCATGATTTGTCCCATTAAAATTGCCATTAGGGGGGCATACCATCTGCAGACGAAACCATCCTTGGGCCTTGGTCCCGGTGTCGATTTCGGTCGTGCGCAAGAAGCCTGGCATGGTCCGAGATGCTTCGAGAATGCACCAATTTTGTCAAGTTGTAAAGGGACAAATGCGCACACACAGTATATAGACATGTAAAGGATTGCAAAGGCACAGACATACCACACATACATAAACACCCTACACGCAATACACACACATATATATAATATGAATATGAATATGAATATGAATATGAAAATGAAATGAATATGAATATGAATATGATGTGTATGTGTATGTGTATGTGTATGTGTATGTGTATGTGTATGTGTATGTATGTATGTATGTATGAATATAAATAAATATATATATATATACATTTTGATGCGGTCCATCAGTTTTTCTTTCCTGTTGCATGATTGACCCCTGGATTTTGCAGAGAACTTCGGAGAAGGGTTTCAACCAATGACACCTGTAGGTCTCAGTGCGTTTGAAATTATGTCAATCTACATGTATTTGTATAATTATCTTTCTAGATAAGACTGTACACATTCATATCTATTCCTGCTATTATCTAATTTAGATGTGTGTATGCGTCCGTTTGTCTGTCTGTGCATCCATGTATGTTTCTCGATTTCTTGATTTGTTTACTTAACCCCCAGGTCACATCAGCCGCATGCCCTGGTCCTACCTTCATGGAACCAAAGTGCCAACACAGCATCCAGCCCTGGGCGCTGACCCGTCCCAACATGGCACAGCAGATGTGAACCACGACCAATTCTTTGAAGCCCAGATCCTGCAACTCAATAAAGAACCATTGTAAATGGGTTGAATTTCGGTTGGATAGACAAGTATAGAGAGACCCCCAAGTCCTTCCACCCTATTAGGTGCGTTGCCCTCACAGGGCTGTTGGCTGAAGTTGCAATCGGAATGAATACAAGACTCAACAAAACCAAATCAATTTTACAGTGCCTTACTTTAATGGTTGATCTGGTAACATTGCCTGCCACCGATTTAATATTGTTGGTTCATGTTGGTTGGTTATATTCACTCATATCCCCATAAAATGGATGGTTTGGTACGCCCATTGATGTTGGTAAAGCAATGTAAAACATCCCATTTTGATGGCTAAATCCGGTCCCAGTTTTGATGTTTATTCCAACTATTTTGATGGTTCCATCCGGAATTCTGATGCTCAAATCATGATTTCTGATGTCAAATAAAATTCAATCTAAATTTTGATGGCAAAATTCCCCCCCCCTATTCACTGCTCACGTGGCTTAAGCTCCATGCTTCGCAGCTTGCGCCCCAAGCGGCGTCGTTCCAGGCGCTCCGCAACCATTTCTGCACCGCCACTTTGGGCAGCCCTTCTTGCAGCCTCGCGCCACGAAAGCACGGTTGAGAGACCTGGAGCGGCGCAGTGCATTGCGCGGTGAATCCACAACAATAGCAATGTGGGTAAAACAATAATAAACCAACTCAACTTGTGATGGTTTATACCACCCATGGATGGTGATTTGGGGGATGGTTTATGATTGTTTCATCAAAATTCATCATTATCATTGTCATTATTGTTTTCAGTATTGCTATTGCGGATTGTGATTAAGATAGTAATGATAAGGGTCATGTCAGTCTTACTACTACTACTACTGCTGCTGCTGCTGCTACTACTGCCGCTGCTGCTGCTGCTACTGCTACTGCTAGTGCTAGTGCTACTACTGCTACTACTACTACTACTACTACTACCAGTACTACTACCAGTACTACTACCAGTACTACTACCAGTACTACTACCAGTACTACTACCAGTACTACTACCAGTACTACTACCAGTACTATTACCACTACTACTACCAGTAGTACTACTACTACCAGTACTACTACTACCAGTACTACTACCAGTACTACTACCAGTACTACTACCAGTACTACTACCAGTACTACTACCAGTACTACTACCAGTACTACTACCAGTACTACTACCAGTACTACTACCAGTACTACTACTAGTACTACTACTACGACGACTACTACTACTACTACTACTACCAGTAGTACTACTACTACCAGTAGTACTACTACTACCAGTAGTACTACTACTACCAGTAGTACTACTACTACTACCAGTAGTACTACTACTACCAGTACTACTACTACTACTACCAGTAGTACTACTACTACTACTACTACTAGTACTACTACTACTACTACTACTACTACCAGTAGTACTACTACTACCAGTAGTACTACTACTACCAGTAGTACTACTACTACCAGTAGTACTACTACTACCAGTAGTACTACTACTACCGGTAGTACTACTACTACCAGTAGTACTACTACTACCAGTAGTACTACTACTACCAGTAGTAGTACTACTACTACTACTACTACTAGTACTAGTGCTACCAATGCTGCTACTGCTACTGCTACTACTACCACTACTACTACTACTACTGCTACTACTACTACCACTATTACTACCACTACTACTACTACTACCACTACTACTACTACTACCACTACTACTACTACCACTACTACTACTGCTGCTTAGTAGTAGTAGTAGTACTACTACTACTACTACTACTATCACTACTATCACTACTATGATTTCACATAATTCAACATCTTAACTGAATTTGGTGGATTGTAATTCATAAAACAAATGCTAATCTGTTGCTGAAAAACGGTCTAGTACCCATCCTAACCCACAAATAATTATATTGATTGTATCACAATTCTTAAGTCATAATTGCTGTCATGCTTGGCGTTGTTATTGTGATTCACTATGATATACCTATCCACAAAAATAGTGTCATTCTAATTTCCAGTAGTACCGCACAAGGCGGTGGCGGAAGTTTCAAAAATAGGAAACCTATAGGAGAGGTCGGTTGTTTTGAATCCCGGATGGCAGAGCGAATCCACTGATGGACCGACAGGTGGTTGGAGTTGTGTTTTTTGGAATGGTTGCAATGGTTGCAGTGGTCACCTTACCACAGCTGCTGGATGTAGTGTGGGGTAGTGGTTGTAGTTGTAGTTGCAGTTGTAGCTGTAGTTGTAGTGTAGTGTAGTGGGGCTGTAGCTGTACTGTAGTGTAATTAGCGTATTTGCAAGTGCAGTTGCAGTTGTAGTCGTGGTGTGGTGTAATTAGTGAAGTGTAGTGCAGCGTCATGTCGTGTATTGTTGTGTAATGTAGTATGGTATAGTGTAGTGTAGCCTAGTGCAAGGTAGTGTAGTTGTAGTTGTAATGTAGTGCAGTGTAATTAGTGTAGTGTAGGGTAGTGTAGTGTAGTGCAGTGTGATTAGTGTAGTGTAGTGTAATGTAGTGTAGTGTAGTAAGTGCCGTGTAGTGTAGTGAAGTGTAATGTAATGTGATGTCATGTAGTGGTAGCTGTACTTGTATTTGCATTTGTAGTTGCAGTTGTAGTTGTAGTTGTATCTATCTACCTATCTATCTATCTACCTATCCTATTCTATCCTATTCTATCCTATTCTATCCTATTCTTTCCTATCCTATCCTATCCTATCCTATCCTATCTACCTATCTATCCTATCCTATCCTATCCCATCCTATCCATCCATCTATCTGTTTGTCTGCCTGTCTGTCTGTCTACCTGCAAGCTTGAAAACGCAGCAATTCTGCGAGACTTCCTCAGCTCTTGAACTTGAGAACATCAAAAGCGCAGCAATTCTGCGAGACTTCCTAAATTTTTGAACTTGACAACATCAAAATCGAAACAATTCTGCGAGACTTCCTCATTTTTTGAAGTTGACAACATCAAAAAAGATGCAATTCTGCGAGACTTCCTTCAAAAATGGAAAGTTGTGTGCAGAGCTGACGGCCTCGTACCAATGCGTTTTGCGATTTTTCCACTCCACCTGTCTAAAGTACTGTGCCTGCCACGAAAAAAGTGATGCCAGGTCATACGAAGTGCTGCACCTGTCACGCAAAATCATCTTCCCAAAACTGACGATCTGATGCTCCAAAATGCAACCCCTCTCCGGAAATCGGCGCCCGGACCTCCTTACATCTCTGATGAACATGTCTCTTGCACTGCGCCTGCCACGGAAAATGCATCTTTGCAGATCCTCTTCAAATGTCCCACACCTGCCATCGTTTTTGGAAATGCCACAAAACCCTCACGTTTTGCTCACTTTTGACAAGGTGCACAATCCCTTGCGCCTGCCACGCAAAACGACAAAAAGTGGTCCGAACATGCAATGTTTTGTGCATTTTGACTTGGAAATTTACTTCGCGCCACAACGGCGTGCAACTTTTCATCTCTCATCTGACCACATGGCTTCGCACCCGCCGCTTTAGCGAGCCTACTTTTCGACCCTCCGGAGCAACAAACCATTGGAAAAACAGAGTGTTTCGCGACTTTCCTGCCTTTTTGCGCACCTGGATCTTCTTTCTTCTGAGACTTTCTCTTTTTTGATCTTCTTTCTTCTTCTCTTCTCTTCTCTTACTCTTCCCATCTCTGCTTTTCATCTGTCCATGTTGTCGGAAGTTTGACTTCTAAACTTCCTTCGATTAGTTCAAACGGTTGTAATTATGAAAAGCAATATACATAATAGACAGGTATGCTTAGATAATAATATACTATAAAAAATCATTGCACGATATATTTGTAATGGATACAACCGGCAAAAGGTACAGTATATTGTACAGTACCGTAAAGACAATTTACCATATAGGGATATTATACGTAGTAGTATTATGTATGAAGAAGCACTAACTACAATATCAGAACACCCTCATGAAATTCACAATGATATCTGAATCTTAATATCTTAATATGCACGACACTACGATCACTATGAATTATCTAATGGGTATGAAGATATTGATAATATGTATATAACTGGACTACTATACTAGGAATACATACCATCATTACTATTGGGTTTTTAGAACTATTATATAGCGGTTCTAGGAAAATTTAACACTTGATGGAAACCCAGTCCATCAATCAATCAACTAGGAGGATGGTGGGATCCACAAAGTAGAAGCCAACCTTCTTGAACGGGGGTCATCTTGCATTAGAAGGTTTACGCAATAACGAACTCCAATTGGGAATTGTCAAGTCTTGGGTTTACATGGGTTTACCTCATTGTAAAATATCCCCGATTTCCCCACAAAGTCATCATTTTCGACGCTTCATTCGCTTCACTTCCCAATTTTTGCTTAAAGAATCTTGGCAAATGATAGTTAAACCCCCAAAAGAGACATGCAAATTTCTTGAAGTAAATCCTTAAATCCCTAGAAGTAATGCTTAACTCTCCGTTAAGACATCAGCCATCCACCATAAATGTCCAGCCTTCTCGGGCGCCCAATATGCGGGGCAACAGCTGCACCACCTGTCGCTCAACAACGGGAAGATCAACGCCTTGAAAAAAACGGGGGTCTGAGCTGAAAATGTTGTAACGTGGGTAAAACAACAATAAACCATCCCCCAAATCACCATAAATAGGTGCTATGACACATGCCTGGGAAAATGATGACTAATTAACCAATGCATTTTCAGACAAACCTGGCTCTGAGCTGATTCGAATGATGACAATAAGCTGCTGTGCGGGGATGCATAACTGATTCTGAGAAAACACTTGGCAAATTATAACTCAACAAACACTGACGACTTGAGGTCATTGGGGATGATTTCACCTCGGCCATAATTAATCGTAATGGACCCTACAGCTTTTGGGGTTAACAGTCTGAACTGGTCCTGTGACATCTTGTAAGCCATTGATCACAGGTATTTACAATGTATGATATATATATACATATTCGTTTATTTGTGATATATAAATACAACCTTAAATGATCTTAGATGGATACAAGTACTGGTTCTGGGTTTGAAGAGCCTTGGCGAAGTACTATAATTTTAGGCCATCTGGGATGCTTTCCCCTGCCAATCTCCCAGAACTTGATCCATAAGTTGCCCTGGTTTCTAGGAAAACATATATGCAGGAAAAATCGGGAAACTATGGTGTTACACACCAAAACAGGCGGGGTTCCTGTAGTTGTTCCCACGATGTCCGGATTTTAAAGGCTCTTCTTGTCAAATCCTGGCCCGTTTTGTGGTTGTGAACATTGAACGGCTTTCAGGGCAAATTTGAGCAATCCATCACAGACATGATCCTTGGCTACACAAACCATCAAATCCACAATGTGGGAGTCACGCAAAGCCATAAACCAATCCCAATGGGTTGTAGAAATGGATGGTTCATGGTGGCACACCCAATAATATTACGAAACATGCTTAAATGGGTTGTAGAAATTATCCCCGTATATATGGCGGTGGACCCCACATTCACCCCATCCCCACCCCCGACATCAACTGCCTCAATTGTCGGCGGTACTTCGCTGGGCAACACATGCTCCAGCAAACCAGGGACCAAGCGAACACCTTTCGGTAAGGACCTGGGCGGGCTACACTGAACGACCTAAGGAGAACCAACAAACTGAGAACGCGAGCGTGTGTCTGTATACACCATAGGTAGATAGATAGATAGATAGATAGATAGATACATAGATAGACAGATCGATAGATAAATAGATAGATAGAAAGACAGACAGACAGACAGATAGATAGATAAGTAGATAGATAGATAGATCGGTAGATAGGTAGGTAGGTGGGTAGGCAGGTAGGTAGGTAGATAGGCAGATAGGTAGATAGGTACATAGATACTAGTAGGTAGATAGATATTTGTGTTTTATCGATTTATATACCGTAGGTGCATGTATCCGTTCACATGCTTACATCTGGCTGAACTGAAAGAATTTGCCAAGCTGAAATCAAGGAATTTGGGGGTGATCGGCCTTGCTCAACTTGACATTATTTACAGTAGAGTGACGTTGCTAGGGTGTCGTTGTAATTCACCTAGACATATAATTTCATACATCAAGTGCCTTTCTGCTGACATAGTCCCAATATCGTTGCTGCCTTATAGGGGTTCCCACAATGGTTTAAAGAATCCCTATACTTATATATATATATGTTTCATATTCTGCCAGTTGGTACAACTTGAGCACTGCACATTTGTCCCTTCCTGCGTGTGTCTGAAAATTCGGTAAAACCTAAATGGAAATTTTAAGAGCGGAAATCTGCTCTGAACCAATGAATGGAACGGTTTTACCCGTCAAATTTCAGATACCAAACCCACATGGTCAAGTTAAGGATGGTTTATTTTTGGCTTGGCTATTTTAAACCAGCCACCCCTCATCAGAACAAAATGGCGCACTGCACATCCCAACCCTTTAGTAACTTAGCAGGTTTATCCGTCAGTGATGAATAGTTGGGGTTACCAAAACCATCATAATCATTTAAATTGTCTGTTCATCATAGCCCGCTCGAACTGTCTCGCACTGACCCTCTCCCAAAGTATCGTAGGTTCTCAAGTGCACACTTCATGATGAACTTTCTAAAATGCGAAAAACAAAGGTGATTTCCGATAATTCCAATTGTTGGTGAATAAAATTCCCGTTATGGATGTACTTATGCAAAACACACAAAATTGCCAATAGATCCTATCAATCATGATGTATTGTTGAGATATTCATATTATTGGAATATTATCAGTAATTCCTGGGACACCAGCCCTTGAATCATCCAACGACGTGCGTCCCGACGAGCTGAGGCGTTGGAGTTGCATCTCCTCCTCCTCTGCCGCAAAACGCAGCCAGAAGTCGCCCTGGAGGCCGAACTCTTTGGGGCTTGCAGCTGGTCAGAATCCACATTTTTGTTAATGGAATAGTTAGGCTTAGGATATGTATCCATACATAAATAAATAAATAAATATATATATATATAATATATAATATATAATATATATATATAATATATATATAAATATTATATGTACACCAGTAGTACCGCACAAGGCGGTGGCGGAAGTTTCAGAGATAGGACACTATAGGAGAGGTGAGTTGTTGTGATGCACGGATGGCAGAGCGAATCCGCTGACGGACCGCAGGGTGGTTGGAGCTGTGTCTTCTGGAGTAGTTGCAATGGTTGCAGTGGTCACCTCACCCACAACTGCTGGATGTAGTGTGGTGTAGTGCAGCTGTAGGTGTAGTTGTAGTGTCGTGGAGCTGTAGTTGTAGCAAACTGTAATTATTGTAGTGTAATTGCGGTTGTAGTTGTGGTGTGGTGTAATGAGTGTAGTGTAATGTAATGTAGTGTAGTGCGCTGTAGTGTTGCGTGCTGTAGTGTAGCCTAGTGTAGTGTAGCCTAGTGTAGTGTAGTTGTAGTTGTAGCTGCAGTTGTAGTCAGTGTAGTATAGCGTAGCGTAGTGTGCTTAGTGTAGTGTAGTTGTAGTTGTAGTCGCAGTTGTAGTGTAGTGTAAATAGTGTAGCGTAGTGTTGTGCAATGTAGTTGTAGCTGCAGTTGTTATTGTAGTTGTAGCGTAGTGTAATGTACCTGGTGCTGTAGCTGTAGTAGTAATAGTAGTTGTAGTTGTAGTTAAAGTTGTAATGTAATTAGTGTAGTGTATCGTAATTAGTGTAGTGTAATGTAATTAGGGTAGTGTAGTGTAATTAGTGTACTGTCGCCTAGTAAATTTGCATCTGTATTTGTAGTGGTTGTGGTAGTATAGTTGTAGTTGTAGTTGTAGCTGTAGTGTAATCAGAGTAGTGTAGAGTAGTGTAGTGTATGCAATGTATTTGTAGTTGTAGCTGTAGTTGTAGTAGTTTAGTTGTAGTTGTAGTGTAATTAGTGTAGTGTAATGTAGCGCAGTAAATTTGTCTAAGGAAGTTTAGAAGTCAAACTTCCGACAACATGGACAGATGAAAAGCAGAGATGGGAAGAGTAAGAGAAGAGAAGAGAAGAAGAAAGAAGATCAAAAAAGAGAAAGTCTCAGAAGAAAGAAGATCCAGGTGCGCAAAAAGGCAGGAAAGTCGCAAAACACTGTGCTTTTCCAATGATTTGTGGCTCCCGAGGGTCGAAAAGTAGGCTTGCTAAAGCGGCGGATGCGGAGCCATGTGGTCAGATGAGAGATGAAAAGTTGCACGCTGTTGTGGCAAATGCACAAAGCAAACCAGGTTCGGAGCACTTTTAGAAGTTGAGATGTCGAAAAAGTGCACGCCGTTGTGGCGCGAAGCACATTTCGAAGTCAAAACCATTCCACACCCAGACGCCACACTTTACGCTCCACTCTGCACTTTACACTCCACACTTTACACTCTACGCTCCACACTCCGCACTCCACACTTTACACTTGACACTCCGCACTCTACACTCCATACTTTACACTCCCGACTCTACACTCCACACTCCACATTTAGCACGCCACCTTCTTCCATATTCCACAGTCTACGGTAACAGGGGAAAAGTGCACAAGACTGTTCAAGCGAACTGTTTCAGAGAAGTGTTCTGCGTGACTGCATATCCATCTGTTTCGACAACTGTATACCATTAACATACGTGTGAGCATTCGGGTTCGTGGGCTGCATCTTGCTTTTTCTCTTGGGGGAGTGACGTTAAAGTGAAGCTTGTCATTTTGTCACTGTAATGCATGGTCAGAGGAGCGTATAAATAATTCCAAAATCTTTGCCACTTTTGTCCGATATTGATCTACCTATGCCACTTTTTGGAAACTTTCGCAAAATCAACAGTTTTTTCTCACAACGCCAGTAGTTTGAACATTTTGGCAGATGAGTCAGTTCTATTTATGAAGAGGTCTTCTGAAGTTCTGACAAAAATCATCAAGTTCCTCTTGAGATCTCAGAGGTTCGTCAAGTTTGTCAAAATTTCGTCAAAAGTTCGTTACGTTCGTCAGAAGTTAGTCAGAAGTTCGTCAAGTTCGTCAGAAGTTCGTCAAATTCGTCGGAGGCCTGGGTGGAGGTCCTAATTGGGAGTCAAAACAACTTATTTCTTTGATTTTGGTGGGCAAAACAGCTTATTCTTTTTGATTTGGAAGGCCAAACAGTTTATTTTGTTGTTATAAAATGAGACCTGACGAACTTGATTAACTTCTGACGAACTTGACGAACTTCTGACGAACTTCTGACAAAATTCTGACGAACGCGGCGAACTTCTGACGAACTTGGCGAACCTCTGAGGAACTTGACGAACTTCTGACGTTGTAGTGAAGTTTCAGCCTTTAGCTCATGTTCTCTGTTTTTTTGTCAGTCGGCCTCTTTGAAAACGTCAGTGGGATCTGACAACACGCACACACACATGCATTGCAGGAGTGATCGGATTGTGGGCTCATTTCGTCTATCAGTAACTCATACACGTTTAAATTCTATTTGACAGCCTTGGCTGCATCACAGCAAAACCTAATTTTCTAACATGCAGGGCCCAAAAAATGTTACTGGTGTCGGGTCCATTCTGGGTTCGGGTATAACGTATCAGTATCAGTCTTCATCCTTCTTTCTTACAATTGTGCGTTGCAATTTTGGACCATCCATCATCTTGCAACGACGTATGCGAGTTTGTGTTTCTTCAAGGAACATTGTCTTTCTTAAAGAATGAAATAAGTTATTGGTACCCACGCCCCATATGTCCCAACAACTTTTTGAATTCCCCATAGGTAAAAACAACTTATTGCATCCCAGGTAGTTTTGAAATTTAACAGACCAGGAAACCAGGAAACCAAATAACCAGGAAATGACATAACCAGGAAATAAACGTAGGAAACGAGCTAAGAGATCAGCAAAACAATAGGAGACCAGAAAACCAGCAAACAAGCAAACCCCAGGAAACCAGGAACCTGGAAACGAGATAACCAGGAAAGACATGGATAGACTAAAACCAGGAAATAACATCAGAAAAATATACCGGATGAAACAAAAAGGAGACCAGGAAAACCGGGGACAGGAAACCAGGAAACGAGGAAACCAGGAAAACGGGAAGGGAACCAGGAAAGCAGAAAACCGTGGAAAAACGTTGCCAAATACGCGTTCCAAAACGAGCTAGTTTTCGCGTTCTAACATGAGCTGGTTTCCGCGTTCAGAAATGAAGCTTGTGCCCAGTGCGCAGCAAGTTTCCGGGGCTCCATGCAAGAATCGCCAGCTCCGTTTTGTCGCCCTCTTGTTCAAGGTATCCGAAAGAAGCATCACGCCTGTGAGCATTGCTCTCTGCCTCCAAACGCCGATGAAGAAGCAGAGCGCGAGTTTCCATTGCTGCCAGGCAGCCTCACATGCTCACCAACGCTGCCACGCCACGCACCTGCGATTTTGGGCCTGCGTGGCCTTCCGGCTCACTGAAGTCAATCCCCACACCCTTTCGCTTGCAGACCTCCAATTCATGTGCATTCCCGGGGACTGCGATCCAAAGCATGGCTTGCCGATCTTGTTTTTTCATCAGTGCTGCCATGGTTTCCACGGACATAGCATTTGTGCCCACATTTTCAGAAGCAGGTGCAAAATGCAAAGTGCATCCCGACCAACCGACGAAGAGGAGGCCATGGATCGCTGGGGTCAAGTTCGTTCAAAAGAATCTGTGGTTTGCTTGGTTCTAGCCGCCCGGCCTCTTGCTGCCTGATACGAATCAAGATGAACCAAACTTAGAAAATATTTTTAGATCCCCATCCGGATGTTGAGTGTATAAATGCAATTTCTGGGATATATTTGTCATTCTAGATGGCTCATGCCCAAAGATTCCAGCAGCAAACCGGCGGTGAGTGAAGCACATGTCCAAGTCAAAATGCACAAAACGCACCAACATCGGACCACTTTTGCAAGTTGACATGTCGAAAAAGTGCAGGCCGTTGTGGCGCGAAGCACATGTCGAAGCCAAAAGCGAAAAAAACAACTGAGGGGTACAGAGCACTTTTGGACGTTCAGATGTCGTTTTTCGTGGCAGGCGCAGGGGATTGTGCACCTTGTCAAAAGTGAGCAAAACGTGGGGGTTTTGTAGCAGTTTCAACTACAACGACCACTACACTAGACTACACTCAACTCCGCTACACTACATCAGACTACAACTACAACTGCAGCTACAGCTACAACGTCACTACATTACACTACACTACAGTACACTAATTACATTACACTACGCAGTACACTACACTGCACTCAATTACCCTACACTACACTCCACTCCACTAAATCGCACTACAACTACAACTACAGCTACAACTTCACTACATTGCACTATACTACACCTTACTAATTACATTGCACTACGCTACACTACATTACGCTACACTACACTACACTACACCCCGCTACACTGCACTACACTACACTCAATTACCCCACAATAACTAAACTACACTACACAAAGTACAGCTACAACTACACTACGTTACACTACACTACACTAACTACAGTACACTACGCTACACTCCACTTCCCTACACTATGCTAAGTTACACTTCACTACACTGCACTACACCCCACTACACTACACTCCACTACACTACGCTACACTCCACTTCACTACACTACGCTCAGTTACACTTCACTACACTGCACTACACTCCACTACACTACACTCCACTACACTCAATTATACTACGGTACAACTACACTACACTACACGACACGACAACTACAGCTACAGCTACAACTTCACTACATTACTCTACACTACAGTACACTAATTACATTACACTACGCTACGCTACCCCACACTACACTAAACTACACTATACTACATTGCACTGCATTACACTACAACTACAACTACAGCTACGCTATTTTACACTACGCTACACTACACTACCCTACCCTACATTACACTACACTCGTTACACCACCACAAATGCAACTGCAACTCATTACACTACACTAGTTACACTACGCCACAATTACAACACCACTACACCACAACTACAACTACAGCTGCACTACACCACACTACATCCAGCAGTTGTGGGTGAGGTGACCGACCAGGTGACCACTCCAACCATTGCAACCACTCCAAAAAAACACAGCCCCAACCACCTTTCAGTCCATCAGTGGATTAGCTCTGCCATCCGGGATTCAAAACAACCGACCTCTCCTATAGGTTTCCTGTTTTTGAAACTTCCGCCACCACCTTGTGCGGTACTACTGGTATAGTACTAGTGGTAGTGATCATGATCATGCTTACAAGTCGTTTCGGGGCTCCAACGCATTCTTGGTTAAGCATACTGCTGGTTGTGTCCCCACCTATCAATTTCAGGGGCTCATATGCTGCAGCAATTCCCTTGGGCCGCTCCAACAAATCGCCAATTTCCATCCGCGAGTCCAAGGACTCGGATATCGGTTTATCCGGTGGACTCTTGGCTTATCGGTTTATCGGGTGAAGCGCGAAATCCGAACCGGCGTTGCTAGTTCAATGTAATATAATACAATAAAATATATTATCATCAAAAAAAGAACAACATAAATGAAGTTATAATAGATAATAATTGAAAAAAAGCAAAATAATAAAATATAATATTGCAAAACATAAAATAAGAAATAATCTAGTAAAGAAAAATACAATGAAATATAGAGTCTGAAATATAATATAGTAAAATATGCAAGGATATGAAATATTTTGTATATATAGTAATAAGTAAATAAAAAATAAAGAAACATAGTAAATAGACAATATATATATATATGCCTAAGTGGTTAGTACCCGTAGCCTAACTCAGTTGGATTGATGGAATATCTCCAGCTATATATCGGTTCTACATGGCTTACATTCCACTTGAGATTCCGGCCTCGGGGACTGACTCAATGGCTGCCACACATCGACGAAAGGTCTCCTGATGGCGAAAATTGAGCATCCATAAACCATTTGACATCATCTCTTTTTGAGGTATATAATAATATAATATATCCAATAAATTCAAATTCATAAACCTCAAACTTGGGGATGGTGACCATGGCACTGGGTATACTCCTATGACTGGGATGATGTAAAATGACCCCCAGCCATCGTTGGTTTAGGCACAGTAATGGGTAGTAATGGGACATTTTACATCATCCGAATCATCGGACATTTTACATCATCCGAGGCATACCCAATCGCATAAGCCTCAAATTTGGGAATGGTTATTTTGAACTTGGCTTTACCACATTCAACCCCATCAAGATCCATGAAACGTGATGTTGCATCGGATATTCGTGGGATATTCATGGAAGTTCATATTTATGGATTTATTTGAAACGCTTGGGGTATTTACCAATCCACAGCTATGGTTTTTACCAATCAACGCAAAATTGTCCAAATAAATCCATGAACTAAATCCACTGTTCATTATTTGAAGCAGATTTGGGTTTTAAGAAATCATGATAAATCATGGATAGTTGTGGAGATGTTCATGGGTGAAATTGGGTGAACCATGACCAAAATACATCACCAATGGGATCCCTTAAAGTAAATCCAATGGGTTGCCATTGGATGGTTGGCTCCACCAGGCCGCGCTCCTGGCTCGGATGTCTCGCAGCTGTGATCAATGCCTCGAAAGGCTGCGGTGGAATTCCGCGTTGCATAGTTTTTGACAACAGCATGGTTGGTTGATGTTAATATATGCACCATATATATATATATATATATATATATACAGACACTTCATTTGATGTATACATATATATATATATGTATATGGATACCTGAAACGGATACAACTTGTTTGCACCAGTTTACACTTGTATTTGTGTATGTGCACAATATAATTCTGATATCTTTACGTAGACTTGTAATTGTACTTGTGCAGTCAAACTTTGCGTAAAAGTCCGTATACAATTGTTTCATTTAGTACACAGCTGGTAGATTCCATCGATGTTGGTTTGGACACTCGGAATTGGCACGGCATGTGGAACCTGATATATATAATATTATATATAGTATATCGACCTATTTAAAAATATTACATGTAAAATAAAACCAATATTATATATATATGCATATAACCGTATATAAATATACTTACATCGAAATATAAATATTATATTTTTAATCTATGCAACATATGTATATCTATACGTATATTATTTGTATATATTTTTGAAAATTGCAACTTTGAAATTTGGTGTGCGCGATATTTTCAATCTTCAGGACACTTGGGTCTATCATCCTTCATTTATTAAAAAAAATCCTTATTAGATTGCAATGATTTGGGGGCCCATCCCCATTTTCAAAAACGGTCCCCAGCCTCACTGGCACTCTCGTAGGCACATCCCCTGGTCATCTGGCTGGGGTCATTTTACCCCTTGAATACTGGCATGTTCAAGAATAAGGCCTGATGTACCCCCAAAAACAAACAAGACGCTCACATCGGGCATCTAGGAGACGCGACTTTTTTGAGCTGAGCCAAAGAAGCCGACAGACACAGAAGGACATCACATGACATCACTTAGCAACTTGGAACGCTAGTGGATCTTGCGCTGCACAATCTGGCGGACTTTCTACATGTGGTATTTAGCATGCTCAGAGTTCAGGCTACTTCTTTGCCTTGTTGCGACATCAACATGGAAGTGGTTCATGATTGGGTTTAGCTACCAGGACAATAATCACACATAACGTAATCACGCTATGTTCATACCATCTCATACCCATAATTTGGCTCGCCGGTGGCAACAAGCTGGTGAACCACGCCTCGCTTGTGACCGGGCAAATGCCAGCCGTACCAGCCGCTGGCGATTGAAAGCATGTGGAATGCGCAGGCCCAAAGCCATGGCCCAACGGTATCGAACCTTGCTATCAAACTGATTAAAGCCAAGCCATGTCTTACCACTGAAGATGGTTGAAGTATAGTTTAGGATGGCTTTACATCGTAAAGATGGCTACACAAACATCCAAGATTGGGATAGTTTACACTCAAATGGGTTGTTAACAACTTGGATTCTTGAAACAGTCGATGTCTATAGTAAAAAGTCCAACACGTACCAATGCCAAATTGCTTCTATTGAAGAGAAAATCACAGCCTTTTTGCAGCCAGGTGTTCTTAAAGCTCGATGTCCTTCGTCGCTTCCGGGATCAACCTTTTGGATCTGCGAATCATCAACATTTCAAGCTCTCAACCAATCACGTTACCAGTCTTGTTGGGTATATCGGTACTTTACGCTTAAGCACCAAGTGTGCGTTTTGTATCCGTTGTTCAGTGTCTGAAGGCTCGAGTCTCTTCAGCTGCTCAGGAGTCAACCCTGCGGCGATACATGGTCCAAAATGGTGTTTGTTACACACCATATCTGTCAAGTTGATGCCCTCGGACATCGTTTCTGAGGGAGCTGCAAAAATCATGGCGAGACATTGCCATTTTCGCATCAAACCATGGCATCCTCAAAGACCCACGAGACCGCCCTAAACGAAAACACCACGGGCTGGTGACCTGGCATGGACGCATTAGTCCTGCCTAGATTGATGTGGGAAACAAGCTTGGGTGGAGATGATGTACACAAATGATCATAAATGTACATATAACTCATATACAGTAACTATATAATATACTTATACCTAAAGGTACCTTTGTTTGAGGTTCACAAAAATGTGAGGAGATGCTTCCCACATCACAATCGCGGAACGCTCCCAGGAGCTCCTCTACGAGCATCTTTTTGAGCGGCTCTTCACTAAAAACATTTGGCAATTCGGTGAAACGTGGGCCTCGACTCTGTCTGAAACTCTGCCTTTTGGACCATCAAGCCATGGGTATGTCTGAAAATGGGGTATACCCCCAATTATAGCCATTTAGTAGGGAAATCTGATCATTAACCATTGGGTACAATGGGGTACACAACATTTTCAGACAAACCCAAATGGTTCAAACATGTTCAAAATGATTCAATGGATAGGCCATCTTTAAGGGACGGCGGTTCCTCAAGTACCAGTGGACCAGGGAGTAGTATACCAAGCTGTACTTGGTGGAAGTTGGAACTCTGGAAAACATGGTTAGTCTGCTTGAGCCAATCTTAAAGACCCATCAAGCTTATTTCTGAAAAGGAAAATCATCTTCCAACCAATTTTTTGGGCTTGGAAGTTCGTTTTCAGGGGTGTACACGGTTCCCTGGTGTACCCTGGTGTACCCTGGTGTACCCTGAAACAGCTCAACCACTATATTTATCTCCAGGCAGTTCCACACAGTTCCAGGGCGGAGCTGCAGTCATGCCTCCACCATGCTACCTTCTTCGACCTGGTCAAGGGCCAAACTCCGTGGTCCAACGAAAGATTACAGTAGAATCTCATGGCACGAGACCATGGTCCTTTACGAGTGCTTTTCCAGAAAACTTCTAACTTAGGGGTTTTCTTAGGCGATCACTCATGCTTGAAAGTCATTGAACATCATAGATTCACAATTCACAATTCACAATAAACCAGATGAATGCACATCGATCATTTCCAACTCTAGGGGTTAATCATCTATACACATCTATATATCATTTATGGATAAACATGATAAACACATCTATAACATATTATAACATAGTGAATTGTCCCGCAAACAGAAACCCATCATCCGAGGTCGCCTCTTCTTGAAATTCCGTGGGGTCCCCATGGGAGATCTGGATGGGGTCCAGCGCAGGCACCTCAACGTGGCTTCCAATGGCTCTGCCCAATGGAGGTATACCACGGTATACTCAGTAAGACCCCCCATTTGAATTGGGAACATGTTCTGGAACATGATTATATATGATGATATATGATGATTATATAACAATGTTTGTTTTTTTCCCCGCAACCTATTTTCAAACAAAGCCCTTGTTTTGAGGGGAAACTCCGATGGGTGAATAGAGAGGCCAAATGAAAACTGTCCCCCCCGTTGGTTATGATTCACCTATAGCAGGTTGGAGCAACCCTGTGCAAGAGGAAGGAACTGAAAATTGATTACATATGGGATATAGCGGGATATAATAAAATATCATAGAATATCATATCACCAATAACATACAGTAATATTTGGGTGTGCGGCATACTGTACCCCAAATGGAGATTTTAAAAGGGAAATGATGAATCACCATCAAACTTTTGAGGTACCACCTTTCGGACACTACGAGATCAGACATGTTGGTTGAATTTGAGCAGTAACCATGCAATTTGGAGGATACACAACTGCAACCCATAGACATTTGCTAACCTGAATGACGAGGCATGACTTGGGTACTTGGGTTTCGTGTGGTGCAGCTAGGCTGGAAACTGGCCGAAGGGGCGAAGGGGAAATCGGATCCGATCTGGCAAATCTGACAGAGATTTTGGGTGATGTCAATGGACTATCTCCTCCAAGGATCAAGATGGATCATGATGGATCCTCGCTTGAAAAATGGGCCAACCAACGGACATTGATCGAACAGTTTATGGAGGTTTCCTAAACTAGGGGTACCCCGAAATCATCCATTTATAGATGGATTTTCCATGATTTTCCCTTAACCATCCAGCTATGGGGGTACCTCCATTTATAGAAACCCCCATAGCTGGTCTCCCAACAACGATGTTTGACCCAAAAGACCAGGCACCTCATGAGAGTCGAAGCTCCGGCCACCTTGACCATGAAGAAATGTGGAATTTGATGAGCGTAAATTTTTGGATGCTAAAAATTGGCAAATTGTTATGGTAATAGATGGTACATTCTGGTACATGGAACATGTAAATCAAGACTTGGTAACTTAGCAGATAGATCAACACTGGTACATCACTGGTACAGAATGAATATCATGATCATGTAGACTCTAATTGAGGCTTACCACAAGGAACTGTAGAATTAGGACGACTTGTGGCTCAGAGTTAACTCATCCCCCACTGGAAATGGCTAAGCCAGGCCACTGGACCAAAGGGTTTTGAGCCTGAAATGGCGGTGTCCCTATTCCAATGGAGATAATGGAGAAGTATCTCAATAATGCTATTAATGGTATTTAATAACTCCCATATTCCATTATCTGTTATAATATTCCAATGGAGATAATGTTGTTCAAATACCATTCCTCAATAACATATTTGATAACATTCAGTGTCTAATGGTATTTATGTACCATTTTCGGTGTAAAACCCAAAGAACCCAGGGTTTCAAGTTTCAAGGCCTGCCTTCAAAACAAGAACTTCTTACCCCCCGGATTTGCACCTTGACCCCCCGGACTTTCACCATCGCGGCCAAAGGCCTCGGACTTGGCACGACTGTAATGTGGGCAAAACAATCATAAACCATCTCCCAAATCACCATTTTCAAAGGTGGTTTTTAACCATTCCCAAATGGGTGGTTTATTATGGTCTATTGTTGTTTTACCCACATTGCAGCAGGTACCCATATGTCCAACCTCCCAACACATCTGCGGATGAACAGGACAATTATACTTGAAAAAGAGATACTTCAATTGCCAGATTAAACAGGTTCCCTTATTTCCTGTAGATATCAGCATCACCGTCATTGAGCGAAGTCTAACTCCCCGAATGGGGAAGTATCAGGGCTGATTCCTAATTTTTGGAGAACAAAACCAACTCTTGGGTGAAGTTCAACTCCCCATTTTGGGCGATTAAAATATATCAAAATCATTCAACATCCAGTTTCTTTGTAGTTGTGATTCCCAAACATCAGCTTCTTGTCCTGTTTTGCCGAGCTGGTTGATGGTCATTTCCCCATTTTAATGACATTTCCACAAGATTCACTTCCACATGCCACGTTTTCTGCCGAGCCCCGAGCTCCGCTCTTCTCGTTCAGCGTCCACACCGACCGCAAACCCGGCTTGGTGACAAGTTGCTGACGCGACAGGTGGTGGACAAAAAATCCGGGTCTCCCAGCAAAGCATGGGGATTTTTAACGACAAACATATGGGGACTTAACCAACGACTTCACCAACGAAGTTGGTGGAGGTAACTTGACTCAATAGCCCTAATTCTTGAGGCCTCCAAGCCTCCAATTCAATAGATCCAAGATGAGACCAGGATGGAAAAAGGGAGGCATTTATACAACATCAGCATTTTTAGTATATGGGGGATGTGAGTGATCTCAGCATTGATTTTGGAGAGTATCTAAACATTTCTGATCTATCCAAATGGCTAGATTCCCGTGTATGGAAACGTTTGCTGCCAATAGACTGCCATCTCCCACTGGATCCAAAGGTCTGGGAACAGTGCAAGTTGGTGCAGCAATCATTCAGAAAACAGATGTTTAAAGATGTATGTGCATATACATATCATTAACAGTATACATCATATATATATAATTATAATTATATATATATACATGGATAAACATTGACCTTACCCATCCTCACTGCCCCATGGTTTAGTCAGAGACCCACGCAATCGAATGGATTTCTTAGGACACATTCCACTTGCGCGGCCTGAGTCAAGCACTCCATGGCCTCTGTCAGGGCAGGGGTCATCAGTGTCAACACTCAAACCTCAATGATGTGATGAAGTAACCAACCAGAAAAGGGTCACTTAGATAATCTTACATCTTACATCATCCCAAACAGAGGTATTGCCAATTTCAAAAACCCTAACTGCGGATAGTTAATGTTTGGTTTACTTTTGGTTTGTTTTCTACCTTATGCATAGGTTTTAAGAGCCAGTCAAGTTTCTGTTCCACAACGTCACCACAACGGCCTCTCGGTAGTGAATCCCAAAGGTCGTTCCATCCATGGTCACAAGTGATAGCCTCAAGCGGGTGCGGCTGGAAAATCCGCTTGGCCAATGGCATGACCAGCTGGAAAAACGGAAAGGCCTGTGAACCGGCACACGCTGGGTCTGCAAGCGACACGCACCTCAAGCGATGAAAAACC